GCTGGAAAAGTCACTCGTTGGGCTGGAAGACTCGCCCGCTGGGATAACACTGCGGAGGCACAACAGCAAAGGGCTCCTTACCCGAGTTTTTGGAAGCCTGGTGTAATTTCCAGGCTCTCCAGCGTTGCTGAGCCGAACTGGGCGGTTGCTGAGGAGCAAAAGCTTGGCCTGCGTGGGGAAGGGGTGCAGGGGCAGCGGGGTCCATGCTGCAGCAATGGGAGCAGGATGGAACAGGGTCCTTGTACTTCATGTGCCTCTGGGCTGGTAGGGAGCTCCTGGGCATTTGCACTGCAAAAGGTAAATTGTTCCGTGCGTTAAATCTTTTAAATATTCCACATCTGTAGTTTTCTAAGATGTTACTCAAATTCCTGTTACCCTCCTTTCATAAGACACTACAAGATGGGTGCCCAGATCCCAAACTGCCTGGTGTTTGGAGGCTCAGACCTGGACTGCGGCAGCAGTGCATCCTTCTCTTTCTTCTTTACGAGATGCTTTTCCAAAAGGCCGGTGTGATGTGGGAGCCCATGGCCTGGAAACACTCACTCCTGCGTCCCGCAGGCACTCCTTGAACTCCAAGTTCAGTGCGAATTTTACGATTCACTGGTTATTTCCTGTATTTTCTGAATCTGAGCAAGTAAAAGGCTCCCAGGCTGAGCACAAGTTATAGTAAGGAAACAAAGTGGGCCATATGTTTCAGTGACCTGTTGGACATGCTGCAAGGGATGGAAATGGTTCCCAGCCTCAGCTAGCACCTAGAGGTCATCATTCTCAGTCTGGCAGCCCCCGGTGACAAAAGACCTTCACACCCCCAATCTAAAGGACATCTGAAGAGAGAGACACTGTCGTGGCCAGCAGTGATACCGTCAGGCCAGTGCTTGGCAGCCCAGGGAAGGCTGTTGAAGTTGAGCAGCAGGGCAGAAAGAAGGAGGCAAAGGATGCCGGTGGGGAAGCAGCTGATGGTGTGACTGAGGTGCAAACAAGTAGTCAGAGATGGGGCAGGACCTAGGACTGGGGCTGAGCCAAAAGCCCTAAATTACTTGTCACTGTCATGTGATGGAAGGACTGGCTCCGAGCGCTGCTCTCTGTGCGACCAGTTTTGGGGGGCTTGCGGTGACCAGCTCAGGGACACGCTCAGTTTGTGTACACACCAGAAAGGAGAGGTGGCCATGCTCTTTTCTTGGGCGGCCGGACACTCTCCAGCTGCCACAGTCTCGGTCCGTGCAATCGCGCACAGCTTTTCCGTTCTGAGTATCTGTAGCCTGGGAGGTGTTTTGGTTTGTCTTTGCCTTGGGAGCAGAGCTGGGCCCCACTGCGGTAGATATAAGCGTTGCATTGGCTGGCCAGTGAGGAACAGGCACGGTGAGAACGGAGAGGTAGATGTGCTGTCTTCCAGGTGCATCGCTGCAAGAGGCAAATGGTGGGAGAGGAATAATACATGAGCTAGTACGTAAAGCAGAGGGATAGCCCTGACTCATAGAATCATAGAATGGTTTGGGTTGGAAGGGACCTTTAAAGGTCATTAGTCCAACGCCGCTGCAATGAGCAGGGACATCTTCAACTTGATCAGGTTGCTCAGAGCCCCGTCCAACCTAGCCTTGAATGTTCCCAGGGATGGGGCATCTACCACCTCTCTGGGCAACCTGTTCTAGTGTTTCACCACACTCATTGTAAAAAATTTCTTCCTTGTATCTAGTCTGAATCTCTCCTCTTTTAGTTTAAAACCATTACCCCTTGTCTTATCTGTGTAGAGCGTCCTGCTACATGAGCCCTGGGCTCTGTAACGTATCTGTTAGTGAGGACAACCAGGGGACAGGGTCCTCAGGCAAAATGCCTCTGCCTGCAATAGGGCTTCAGTCCGTGTGAACATGCCAGAACCAGCCAGGACTGCTGGGTGCTGCCTGGAGCACCCCAACTATGTGTCTTTAGACTTTGCCAGCTTGACTGGGCAGTCAGAGGCATGAGGACTGAAACTCTTTGCTTTGGAGTCTTTTTGGACTCTGAAATGAATGGACTGCAGTGGAAAGTGAAAGCAGAGCTTTGTGAGCTGCTGAGTCTTTGGGACACCATGTCCTGCTGTGCTGTGCTTTACAGAGTAACGCTAAGCTTCTCAAAAGTTACACTTGCTTTAACAACATCACCGCCTCCTGTAGGAAATAAGGGTAAGTCCCTATAATGCTGTGCTTAGTGTTTGCTGTAAGCAGTCACTTGGCATCAGGCCATTTTCCCTATGGTCTCTCAGCTCACCTGTGTGATTTTGTAGGGTGCTGAAGATGGCAGGCAGCTCCGCTCCTTGGATCGGCAGCGCTTATCTCTTCCTCCAGTCAACCTGCAAGACCATCGTTCTGCCGTCTCTCTATGAGAGCTCACAGAAGAAACCTAGCGTGTTCAAGGCGCTGAAGCTGGCATTAGCAGGTACCCATCTTCTCTGATATCTTGGCACGCTGTCTCATCTCTTCACACAATGCCATGCCTTTCTTTAATCTCACGCTCGTGGGTAAGGAAAGCTGGTGCTCACTATATTTAGGAAAGACAAGGAAGTGGAGCAACTTCAGCAGAGGTCCACCAAGATGGTTGGGGGCTGGAGCACTCATCCTGTGAGGAGAGGCTGAGAGAGCTGGACTCAAAGTTCCCCAAACTTCAGCCTGGGGAAGAAAAGGCTTTGGGGGACCTACCAAGAGCCTGCCAATACCTACAGGGAGGGGGAGATGGAGCCACACTCTTCGCAGTGATGCATGGGGAATGAGAGGCAACAGGCACAAATTGAAACAAGAGAGGTAGACACCAGACATAAGGACAAACATTTTCCCTATGAGGACAGTCAAGCAGTTGCCCAGAGTGACTATGTATTCTCCCATCCTTGGGGGTTTTCAGAACGGGGCTGGATAAAGCCCTGAGCAACTTGGTCTGACCTCAGAGCTGATCCTGCTTTGCATGGGAGGTTGGGCTAGAGACTTCCTGGGCTTCCTTCCAACTTGAACTATCCTAGGAGTTATCCTACTTTATGAATGTTTGTTTAAACCCATTTATGCAAGAGGGGAAAAGATTGCAATTGCTATGAAAAGAGATTTAATTTCTGTCTTCATACCACCACAGAAACATGATTTCTGCTTTGAGAAGCCGATTTGTGTTAGCCAGTATAAGTTCTTTTCTGATATAAACAGGCACAGTGACATTAGTTTCAACTGTACATAACCCTATTTACATCAAAAAAGGACTTGAGATGCCAGTGGCCATAAAACTGTTTTTCTCTGTCCATCCTTGCACCAAGCTGACTGCAGAATAATAGTAATTTGAAGAGTTTATCATACTTTCCTAGAATGACTCTCATGGCGTTCTTTACCTGTCACATAGCTGAGCCTACATTGTTTAATTGGGCTTGTATAACTATTCTGTAATTTCTTCTGGCAATCACGAGTCTAGCCAAGTCAGCTGGTTTATCCAATACAGGCCTGCTCATCTTGCAGCTCAGTCCAAAGATGTGAAGCAGCAGGAAGCCCGACACAGTTGTCCAGTTAGGCTCGATTTATGGCTGCTTTGTGCCACTGGAATGTGAATCTGCTCACACATTTAAAGGAAAGCCCACAAAAACGCTAAATCCTACCACACTTATTCAGACCTAAAAAGGACAAGGAATCTGAAGCTGTCTGAAATTTCATGAAAACACACGTGCAAAATCCTCTCTTTTGAGGTAGCTTTACAGCTGTCTTATACTCCATTCATAAAGGTTTCCATGTCTGTGCAGCTTTTTCCTCCCCATCCCTCTTACCCTGTTAGGGAAGCTTTTGTTTAACCAGCACTCATGAAAAACAAAGAAGGAAGGAAGCAATAAAAAGACATTTCTGCTCAGCCACAGTGAATTAAAATGCCTCTCCTAGGTGCCTAGCCCCATGCTCCAGTTTCATATCTGGTCCAAACTAGACTTTCTGATGCAACCAGGACTCAGTAAACCCTGTAAAACTGCTGCTAGATCACATACTTTTAAATGCCAGGTCACTTGTCCTGCCTAATGTGGAGCACAGAAGTCTGCTTTGCCTTGGGATTGTTCTCCAGGCACGTCTAAATAATGCCATGATGCGTGGTTTAGACATACCTGATATAGCGCCAGTATGAGCTGGTACATCCGAATGGCTCTGTGCAACGACAGGCCAAGAGGTTAATTCGAGTCTGGAAGCAGTACAGCCAGCCTCCCACAGGCCTGTGCTGCAAAGAAAGAGAAAAACACATGCTCTAAACTGTCATCATCAGCATATAAAATCCCTGTGGAGACAAGGTCAACGTGCGCAGCTAATCAAAACTGAATTTTGCTGGGAGAAGGAAGAATGAAGGCCTGGACAATTTCTATTGTCCATGTCACTCGTGCTCCCCCTGCACTGATGTTAGAGGGTACATCCCTGTCTTCTCCTTGTTTAGATTTTACCGTGAATTAATTCCCTGGGCGAAAGAGCTTAACAAGTCAAGACCCAATCTCAAACAGCCTAATTCCCATGGCTGGATCTATCGTTCACCATTTGTGAGATGCATTGAAAGCTCAGAGCCAGCCAAAAGTTACCTCTAGGCACAGGGTGGAGAGGAAATGCCGGGTCTCTTTCCAGCACCTTCATCATTGCATAAAACTCCAGTAACAAGGACTGAAGACTGACTGAGCACTGCGCTGAACTATGCGCTTTCATCTATAAAGCTTCCCTGTGCTACCAGTTTAGCGTAACCATTTCTGTCCTGGAAATGGAACCTCAAACTTAAAAGCTCCCCTAATAAACAATGTAGGGATAATTACCTGGGGTGCAGTACCATACGGCTTCAATTGGACACCATACTTCATAGGGACTGATGGTGGCAGGGCAGCAAAAACTTAATCCTTTCCTCTTGGTTTTATATACAGGTTTTTCATCCCAGAGGACTTTATCAGAAAGAGAAGAGAATTCAAAAGCTGCTCCGTTGCAGGCTTGGTGGTGGATGGGAGTGGGTCTGGGTTGTCTGTCTCATGCCTGGATAGTGACTCTGCTCACTTCTCCCTGCCAGACTCCACCGGCAGCGTGAATGGTGTGGACATGCTCAAAGTGCACTGCAGCCACCCGCACCTGATAGTCCAGCTCAAGTTCTGCAAGCAGGAGAACTGCCGCCGGTTCCTGCAGAGTTACCGGGAAGGAGCGCTCCAGAAGTCCCTCCAGAATCACCTCCAGCTCTCCTTGGCCATGACCACGGTGCCTCTTGAAATGGAGCTGAAGGCTGGCAATGAGCACCTCGACAAGATGCTGAAGGATGAGGATCGCTGCCTGGAGTGCATCTACAGAGAAAAGGTGAATGGGAGAGGGCGGGAGGCCACGCAGCAATGACGAGTGGTAGCACAGGACTCAGGAAGGTGGGTGCAAATCTTGCTCCTTGCAGCATACTGGGTTGTTGACTTCTCCATTCTTCAGTTCTCAGCTGTAATATGGAGAAATAGCTCTCCCCTTCCCCAGAAGAGAGCCATGCGCTTTTCTGGAAGGGCAATAGAGTTACCTAAAACAGCCTACAGAGATTCTTCTAAATCACTGTGATGTCTGTGTATAAGAATTAGTGTGGCTGTTATCACCACTAAGACGAGGAATTATAGAAAGGACAGCTGAGAGCACAAGCAAGTATGCCTCCACACCCCTGTGAGGCAGGCAGAGAGGGCAACAGTCCTGTGTGGAACAACCACAGCTCACCACCTTCCTCCCCTGCCTCGCACACCACCTCTGCCGAGAGTAGCAATGGTGACTGCACCTAGAAATGAGCGTGAGTGCAAGCACATGATACCAACAACCTGTGACAGAGTGGGGACACA